TTCAGGTTACGAGCCAGCTTCAGATACCCCACCGCTAGTTGGCACAGCGAACATCACAGTGAACGCCACAACATGAGCCCAGCATCACGTGTTTCACTCGTTCACTTTATGATTTGACATACGAGTAATTTGAGTTACGAGCTCCATCACGGAATGAATTAAATTCATAAGTCAAGGCCCCACTGTACCTAGGTGATTCTGAGGTGTTAAAGTGTGTAAGAATATCCTGGGAACTTACTAAAAAAGCAGATTCTAAGGCCCTGCTCCCAAAGATCCAGAGGCATTAGTTCTGTGATGGAGCCCGAGGCACGATGCATTTCAACAAGTACTGCAGGTGATGCTGATACAGGTCCTCTGAAGACCTTATGGAGAAGTGTGGAACGCTGCTCATGGCAATTCCTGATTTTAATCATAATGTGTGTGGGGAGAGGGGGTAGAGCAGACTCAGAATGACAATTTTCATGTGCTTTTGTTGGGCCAAACTGATCTCACTATGAAAAACCCAACTGAGTTCTGGGAATAGCACTAAGAACTGTTGAGGAAGGTTTTCCAAGATCCCTCAACTGCTGAGAGATTAACAGAAGACTCATGTCATTTGATTCAGTTGAGTTTAAGGAGATTGGTTAGAGGAGATTCCACTATCGATAGATGGTGACTTATCTGGAAAACAGGCTGGAATTGATCCAGATTGTGGTAGTCTAGAATAAGGGTTAAAAGTTAATGGACTGGGGGAAGGAGAATGGGGAGTGACTGCTTAATGGGTGCAGGGTCTCTTTTAGGGGTAATGAAAATGTTTGGAAATTATGAGAGAGGTGATAGCTCAGCAACATTGCCAATGTACCACTGAGCTGTACACTTTAAAATGGTTAATTTTGTGCTGTGTGCATTTGGTGTTGGCTGCCCGAGTGGGAATCTTAGCGACATCACCTATTGTTTTAATAGGTTTAGAGTTATTGGGCAGGTTCTTAGCCTCCCTGGCTTCAGTTTTCTCAACTGTAAAGTGTGCTTAATCATAATGGCACCTCACAGAGCTGCTAAACAGCATTAAACATGAGAGGTTTAATCCTGTTCAGCCAGCACAGAGAAGTGGTAAAAAACTATTAGTTATTATTATTGGAGCTGCTGCTGAAAGCTTTGAGGTCTAAAGATCTATGGATAAAACTGATATTTGAGTTCCTTATTAAAATAGTTTCCTTGTCCTAATCAATAGTGGTTAGTTAGACCTTTGAAACAAAATAGTAATGACAACACAATAATAGCAAAACATGTTTCACTTCAATATCCAATTATAGTTGTAAACCACTCTTCCCATATCATTTAACCCAATATACACCAAATATTTTTGATTGCAGGGGCAAGTCTTACCACACATGCGCCCTCTGAGCACTGAGCCTGGTCTGCAGAAGAGGAAAGCCTTTTCCGTTTCTAAGGAATTGCTATCGGCTACGAGTATTTCAGATGCCAGCTGGAAGGAATACATGGGCTCCTTATCAAGGGTCATTTTCAAGTGATTGGTGATAGTTTCCAATGTGTTAATGAGTCGTCGCTGATTTTGCAATTCAATAGTGTCATTTCTTTCATCAGGTAAAGGCACACTAGCTGAGATAAAAACAACACAGAATAAAACATACACACACATGGTGTTTCAGGAAGCCATTTGTAGTTAGTTTTTAATGGCATATTAAAAATCTTCCAGGAAAAGAAACTCAAACTCTACCACTACCTATAAAGCAACTAGTACATGGATAATATTATGAACAATAAAATTTGTTTTAATCCTTCATTCCCATTCTGGATCCGAATCACCTTTGTGCAGAGTTCTTCATTACAGCATATTAAATTCCTACAAGCTCTTGCTTTTTAAAAGCATGCCTTTGTTCATCATGCCAAGATGAGAACAAAGCAGGGTGTTTGTTGCTCTCAGAATCATAACATACATCTGTGACATTAATTTGCAAAAAAATCACAAGACTTAGGTGACCATGCTCTCCCTAATTTTCAGTTCCAGGATCATTTCCTGATAATAACAAACGGAAGCTTTGAAAAATAGGTCTGCCACTTGCCCTGGCCAGTATGGCTCAGTTGGTTGGAGCATTGTCTTGTACATCGAAAGATCACAGGTTGGATTCCTGATCAGGGCACATACCCAGGTTTTGGGTTATTGATTCAATCCCTGGTCGGCAACCAATTGATGTCTCTCTCTCACTCTCTCTCCCATCTCCCCTCCTCGCTCTCTAAAATCAATAAAAACATCCTAGGGCGAAGATTTAAAAAAGATTAGGTCTGCAACCAAGAATTTCACATAATATTATTTTTACAAATGGACAGTTTGTCCTTACCTGTGATGTTAAAAGTTAACTTAACTTTGTGGTCAGTTAATGGGGCACTTCTTTTAGTTCGTGAAGATCTAGCTTTGCCAGCACCTGCGGGTGTTTCTTGCACAGAGTCCAAGAAGTCATCATAAGAGTAATCTAGCCGATTAGCTGCACCCCAACCTCCTGGTCCTGGGTATTTGCGGCAGAAAAACAAATGATTTCTATAGTTGCATCTTTATCAGCATTTTAGTTCAAATGTTAAGTCACAAGTCCAATGACCCTTGACCTCTGCTTAAATTACCCATATGCGGTAATCTGTGAGTATGCTTTTGTACTTACACATTTGCCAACTTGGGTATTAGGATTCTTATTTGACTCTGTTAATCTGACAGGTCAGAAGTGGCATCTCATTTTAGTTTTAATTTGAATTACATGATTATTTTGAGGTTAAACCATTTTAATATATTTATGGGCCCTTTGTTTTTCATATATTATGATTTGTGACGGTGTTGTTATAAATACTACACTGACCTTGTGACTATTGTAAAGACATTCAAGGAAGAAAGCTTGTCTCTTAGGATCACTTGTACCTCTGCCTATGTTCGAATCTAGAAAACTGCCAGTTGGATCCCTCTTGGATGACAAGTATCTCCCATCTTAAAGCTGACTCCCTCCGTGTATATCCTTGTACCTCACAACCTACCTCAACAATCTGGGAGGGGAAACCTGGTCACGTGTGACAGAATAGGCATTGTACTTCTTCTACATGTGCCACTGCCAACTGCACCACCAATGCCTCTTTTTACTTTTCTATCTAAAACTTTAATGCCCAATATGTTCACTGAGAGCTGTACATATAGTTAAAAATGAAAAACAACCCAAAGTCTGCCAACAGGAAATTATTTACATAAATTATAACAAATTGATAAAATTATATGTAGACATTTAAATTATATTGAAGCATAATATTTAATGACATAAAAATGTCCTCAATATAATGTCAACTAAAAAATTTGTGTTTATAACATAGAATGGGGATATATACACATACACATATGGTTATCAATATTAATATATGAATAGAATTATTTCTGGGATTGTGGATTATCTTGATTTCATTCTTTGTTTCTTAGCATTTTCATTTTTTTGCAATAAAAATATATGCACAAATAATATTTTTTAAATGTAAAAAGTGTAACCAATAGTCAACATCACTCTTAATGCTAAATTTCTAATAACATTACAAATATGATTAGCATCTGAAATAAAAAGGAGTCTACTGTATGTGAATTAATACCATCTCAAATAACTTTCTAAGCACTTCACTTGAACTTACTCATTTAATTTTTACAATGGCCCTATGAATTCAGTACTCCTATATCCCCATTTTATAGATGAGGAGACTAAGGCACAGAATAGTTTGATAAATTGCTAAAGACCACACAGCTAGTAGGTGGAAGAGCCAGGTTCTGGATCCAAGTAGTAGACCATAAAGTCCATGTACTTAAATTGCCCCTGACACAATTTTGTTATCACTTTGTGAAAACATTACTCTGGAAGTTCTGGACAGTTTTATAAAAATGAAATAAAAAAAGAAGAAAAAGTATTACAGAGGACAATGATTTTGCTAATCAAGAGACACACACAAAAAAATCACAAGTTATACTTTGGAATTACATTGATAAAAGTTATTTGTCAATTGTATCTCAATACAAAAAATGAGAGGAACAAATTGTTAAGAGCCCACATGAAGAAAACATCAAAAATCCACTTGATGGTATATCAGACTTGAATGGATTGACTCTTAACATATTCTGGGTGAGGAATCTGAACATTTCACAAGTGTAACTATTTCAAATTAAATTTGCAATTTAAATCAAATGCCATATGAAAAATGCTGTTAGAACTCTTTAACTGTTATCCTCTTCTGAGGCACCATTATCAATATTTGAATGTGACTTGGTTTTCTTGGTTTTTATCATCTTAAAGAGTTTTGGCTAAGAGTTTGGAATAACTTATTTGATACCTAAAATTGAATCTATCCCTAAAGATCACGAGGCACAGTACCACATTATCCAAGCATTTAAGAATACCTTGCATAAATTAATAAAAGTCCATTTTTCTAGTTTGACCTACTCTTCTGAAATTATTTTCTTATTTTGCAAATCTGTCTTGCAAACTACCAACACTAAATCATTTAATTACCAATTGCAAAGCCATTTTCGTAGTCATAATTATACTCCAGGCAGTATTTTTTGGTCAGGTCCTCCAGTCTGCAGTCAATGTCATCAGCGTCACTGCAGAATGATGGCACCTGCAAATAAAAAATCAAGAGGACAAAAAGCAAGTCACGTCTCCGCGTGCTTTGTCCTTCGCGTCTCTGTCAGTTAGGAGGGAGGGGGCTTGGAGTGCCACCTGTTCTCCTGAAGACTCTGTCTTGACCCTCCTGAACTCCCTGTGATCCACCAGGGTTATTCTCCCACCTCTTCTGTTTACATCACTTTTTTAAAAATTCAAAACTTTTAAATACAGATTTACTTATAATTCACTGCAGAAGTGCAGATCCTATGAATAATTCTAAATATTAAGAACAAGTTTGGCTCACAAAGCAGAGGCAAATCATTAGGACAAGACAATTCTGTTGCCGATGACCCAGAGAGGCTCTGAAAAGCTCAACAGTGTCCTTTGAAATATTGCAAACGATGGAGGAGGACTTCTGACATACCATTTTCCCCAGGGTCGTCTCAAATGCTTCTGAAAACTTTTTCAACAGGTCCGTGTCATCACAACGAGTTGCTTTGTACAGCATCTCAAAGGACTTGAACCCATGATTTGCAAAACGTTTTACTGGAAAATGTTGGGGAAAACAGCTTCAGTTGGTTAGTGTTTTCAAAACAGAGATTTAACTATCCCTGGAATAACTGTAACTTAGTATTGTAACTTCCACATAATTTGTGGATTGTTATAAAAACAAGAGATGAGTGTTCAGGAAAGTTTTTAGGCATTAATTAATCACTGAAAACCAAGTACAAGCCAAATAAGCACTGTACTAAGTTACCAGGTGATGAATTTGCTTTAATAAGTTATTCTTTATCTTCCTACCATTTAAGGAAAAACAATAAATAAAAATTATTTTCATTATATTCCTGGGAAAAATCATGGCTGGATCAAAGATATTCTATTCCATATTTATTTAAATTTACAACATATATGTTTATATTTTCAACCACTAGACATTTAAAATTTTTCTGAATGTTATGCAAAATTACCTTTGTTAACAGTGTAATTTCACAGAGACAAATTTGTCTTTGGAGAAATTAGACTCAGCAAGATGTCTCAAAATATTCTGAGATAAGGCCTCCTACTAGCATCACCATTAAAATCCTACCTTCTGATAGTCTATGGTAGAGGTAAGTGATACTGCTTCTACTTACTTCTCAGATTTGGGAAAAAACAGCTCAATTAAGTAGCTTTTACTCTTTTTCCAGGACATTTAAACTCCATCTATGGTACTGGATCAAATACTCACTCCAGATAATGTTATTTACACCAAAGATATCCGGTTGGCTGTTTTTATAACAATACATATTTAAGATTATCTAAATCTATATCAGAGCTAAGCAATGTACAACTGATCTCCCTCACTCCATCACAAATCCTGGCTCTTTAAATGTTATCTCTTCCACAGTCTATAAGATTATACTTCATGTTCAATTTCACAAGTCAAGAACAACATGCTGACAAATCTCTGCAGATATTTCTGGTAAATAACAAGGAGAGGGTCCATATGGTTTTGCCTTAAACTGAACCTTGTCTTGTAGCAGGATTCTGGTGGGGTATTATTTTAAATGGATGGATGAAAGAACATTTATCCACAAACATGTCAAATTCATGGCACCATTTTCTACTCACAAAACCTAATCCCTAAAATTATGACAATCTCCCTCTTTAAATGCAAAGAAATCTACACAATCAGCTGACAGACACACACACTAAAGGAATCCAGAAAAAGAATTAACACTTACTAGCACAATCTGGCCATTCAGTGGAATACGGTGGTCTCCAGATACCATCTTCATAAGCACAGTAATACTTCTCCATAGACCCCTCTGTGAAATCATAGCCCTCCAGGCAACTTAATGTGCAGTTAACTCCAGCACTATCTTGAGTACATACGAAATCCCCATTTACAGGGGTAAATGGAATTTCACAGGGAGAACCTGTATAAAAAATATATTATTCATATACAGTGATATAAGAAAAATAAATCCAATTCCAGGAGTCTGAGTTGAATTATTAGAAAGATTCCTCCTGCCCACCATATTGCTAGAATGACTTTCATCACAAAACCTTAGTGTGGGATTGTAGCAATGCTTGCTTTTTCTTTTTTTTAAAAAAATATATTTTTATTGATTTCAGAGAGGAAGGGAGAGGGAGAGAGAGATAGAATCATCAAAAATGAGAGAATCATTGATCGGCTGCCTCCTGCATGCCTCCACTGGGGATCGAACTGGCAATCCGGGCATGTGCCCTGACCAAAATCAAATGCCTTAATTTAATGGCATTCTGGTTCATAGGTCGGTGCTCAACCACTGATCCACGCTGGCTTAGCACAATGCATGCCTCTTAATTCCTAGGTGGACACAATTGAGAAGCTGTCTCTACATGTAATTAAAGGTTGTGCATATTTTACGAAAAGTATTTCTGATTTGGAAATGTTATTTTTGGCATTTTTTAGTAAAATGAAAATGACATTATGTAGCAAATACATTTTCAGAATCTGTCTCCTCAAGCATTCAAAAGAAGATCATAATAATACTTTGTACCTTTAGAGGAAATGTTAATAAAATGTTAAAGATCACCTAGAAGAAATATTTTTATTTATCATGAAATGAAGTAATAAGAATTAGGAACCTAAATAAAATCTGTCAGTATTCTAACTTTAAAAATCTGCTGCTCATAGCCCGGCTGGTGTGGGTTAAAGCTCAATTCCCAGTTCAATTCCCCAATTCCCTGGTTCAATTCCCAGTCAGGATACATGCCTGGGTTGCAGGCTTGATCCCCGGTGGGAGGTGGGGGGAGTGCAGGATGCAGACAATCAATGTCTCTCTCTGACTGATGTTTCTATCTCTCTATCCTTCTCCCTTCCACTCTCTCTAAAAATCAATAAAAACATATTTTTTTATAAAAACATATTTTTAAAAAATCTATTGCTCATAGCCTATTTTGTCTCACAGCAGCAATTATGCATATCAAATGTCACCTAGATTTCTGGAGACTTAGGAACAGCATACCTTTCAGGACAATGTGAATGTCACATGTTCTTTTATTGCCGGAGGGGTCAGTGGCTGTATACCGCACCACAGTCTCCCCTTGAGGGAAGAGGTCTCCTGGGGTGTGACTTCTGGTGATGACCAGCACGGCCCCTGGAAAGGAAAGAAGGAACCCGATTTTGGGGTTACTGGTCTGCACTCACTTCCCTAGCCACCTTATTTTACTTTTCAGTTTCTGATTTTTAGAGAGAGTGGAAGGGAGAGGAATAGAGAGATTGAACCAGCTGGGCATTCAATTTATGTTGATTTGGCCACTAGTAGAAAATAAAAGATGTAATATCCATATTATAACATAGAAACAGCAGACTCAAAAACCTCATTAAATTAAGGCATTCTTGCTTAATGAATGATTTTCCTTGAATAGGTCAGTCTATCTGAATATGGGAAATTCTAATTTGCATTTATAATATTGTTTATTAGATTTTACTGAAATCTCAAAAGGGAAATTTAATTCTACTTGGCCATTTTTTGGCTTTCATATGGTCTTCTATATTTTTTTGTCAAATGTTTAAGAAATGAGTATAAATACATAGAATCCCACTCAAGATACCAATACAACACGTAGTTTGTGCCTTCAGGACAAAGTAAGCTTAGAGACTGAGTAAATTTATTAGATTCCCCTCCAAGTACAACACCTAGCATAGGTTAATAAATGTCCACTGTATATTAAAGGAAGGGGAAACCCCATGAGTAGGTTAGATTAATCACGTTAAATTATATATGTGGCAGGGAGGGGGTTGGGGATTAATGGGAGGATGAGGACAAATTTGTAATACATTAACCAATAAAGAAATTAAAAAAATTATATATATGGGGGGCAGAAGTAGATTTACAGTTGCATGGTGACCTTCTGAGCTAATAAAACTGTTGTAATAATCATAACCTGCATGTATGTTTTCACACAAACAACTGTAAACCTACTTTTGCCAACATGTGTAATTGTCCTAGCATTAAAACATATTACCTTATATAATTATTCAGTCCACTTAGATATAATTTACTTTTCGTTTTTCTTTTGTGTTTTCTGAACGCTTTTATAAATAAAATATGTCAGTGTTACCGCACTGAGAACAAAATGCCTATATTCTCACCCGAGTTGTCTGAGAACTGAGGCTCATCCCAGGTTGCAGGATGCTGCTTCTCGGAGACCTGGATGGGAGGTGGGGATCTGCACCTGTCTATGCTAGGTGGCTCCACATCTAAAAAACATGAAATCAGAGAAAGAAGTCACAGTTGATATTAAAAAATGATGAGGGGGGTTGCCAGAGAGAACTGATGTCTGCTTGTGTTGGCAAAGAACCCTGACCTTGTTAAACACAAGGTTGACTGTGGAGCCCCCTTCCTCATGAGACATGTTTTATCCCCAGTCTCAACATTAAAAGAAAAAGCTGATTCTTGCATATTTCCCTCTGCCTGTTGAAGAAGAAATTCCAGGTTACTAAAATTACCGTGAGCACAGAGTATGAAAGGTAATACAGATGTGGTGGGCATTTAATTTGCGTGTTCCACCAGCAATAGTTAAGCTGATATACCTGACAGTAATAAGAATCTTCCCAGATAAGCAGGAGAAAAATGACCAATCTTAGTCATTGGCCTAGGATCACTTCCAGGATCCTCCTCTTATCAGAAGGGGCTAGATAGGCTAAATGTAAGGAACAATGGGTAGAAAGATTTGAGTCATGTTTCAGAATATGCAAGGTGTGAGGATTTGATATTGCTGAAATGCAAGAAAACTATGTCCAAAGCTGGGACACTGGAGTCTAAGAGTTCTAAGGTTGATAAAATTCTAGGTAAAGACAAATAACAGGGTGTGGTGTGGACATGGAAGTCAGCTGCTATAATGGAGAGGGGTGAAAGCCACAGTAGAAGTTCAAGAACTATGAATAGGTGTTGCTGAACACTGTAATCCACATTGAAGGAGTAGTTTAAGGTGGCCCGGGTGAGCCAGGTTTCAAAGCTGTGATTGGATGTGGCAGAATTTTTAGGATATCAGTAAAGAACAACAAAGAAGGTGCATAGAAGGTAATTTTAATTATTTTACACATTCAAAATGTTCTTATATCCATAATCACATGTCTTTGAGAGAGACTTTTATAGGCATCAAGTCTAGGGTATTTTTATCTATAATATATGAAAACACATACTCTAAAATTAAATGAGCTGTACCTGTGAGAACATATAGATATCTGTTTTAAGCCTTATGAATAAATGTTCAATTTTTTCTCTTTTCTTCATGCTTGTCATTTCATCAGTGCTGTACCTTTGGGCTGTACACTTTGTTAATCAGAGATAGAGTCTCTTTTGCACCTGGTTAGGGCTCCACAGAACTTGGCCCATAGTAAGTGCTCTAAAATCGTTGTTGAATGAAGGAAAGAGTAAAGGAATGCTCATAGGAGGCCAGTGCACTTTGAGGTTACTGAATCAAGTCAATTCATAGTTCAATTGAAAAATCTGGCAGCATTTATTATTTTCCCAAAGGAAACTGCACATTGATATTTACAAAGTCTTCTAAAATAGCCACACATTTTAAAGTTGAATCAGCGGTACAAGATGCTTGCAGTCAGACTAGTAAAATACTGTCATAAGAAGGGGAGGCACAGCAGACGCGCTGTATCAAAAGAGAGAGGCAACTTCCCAAGCGAGTGAGGCAACTGTGGAACATTAAGCAAAAGCAATCCTGCTTCCTCTCTTTTATCAGTAAGACACCAAAGCCCTGTCAACTGAGGTAAACAAGGAAAGGCAGGCTTTGGAATATTTTCTCTCTGACTCTGTCTCTCTGTCTTTCTCCCCTAGCCTTCCCCTCCTTCTCAACCCCTTTCTTTCTCCTGCTCCCTCTACCTTACCATTTTCTCTCTAATTTGAAAATACAGCTAGTGTCTAGCTAGAAACTTGAGTACACATTTTACCTTTCAACATGCTCACTCTTTGTTGTGAAAAATTAAAACTTCACAAACTCTTAAACCACAAATCCAACGTATTTTCCATGTTTCTGCTAAAGTTCATGTTGAAAACATTGAGAAAGCAATTAAAAAAACACTACTATAAAATAAATTAGACTGAGTTTTACTTGAGTCTTTTTATCTGCTTTTGCCAAAAACTTACAATTCTGAGGGTAAAAAGCCAGTTTGATATACATTAGTCATTTTTCAAGAACTTATGTAGAATTCTTAAAATAAAATGAGTTTAATGTATTGAGCTTTAAAATAAACACATTAAAATATATCAGACAAATGTCACAAAATGACAATATTTATATAACGCTTAATGTATGAGGCACTAGTTCAAGGGACTTACATAACTTAATTAAAAACTTCACTATGTCCGTATGAGGTAGTATATTTATTAATTCTATCTTTTAGATAAGAAAATTGAGGCACAGAGATGTGACTGTTCACACTGCCTTTAAGTGGCAAAGCTGGATATGGAGCCAAACAGTTTGGGTTCAGAGTCTGTGGTGTTGACCATTGTAGATGGCTATATATCCTACTTCTCCATGTAGTAAGTCTTGGTATTTGGTAGCTATTGAATATCTACCAAATTGACTGAAAGCACAATGACCAATTGGGTAATGAAACAGTAAACCGGGCCAAAAAAATAAAAACAAAAATAAAAAAGGACTGATCTATAGTAGTGGTTGGGAAAATGTAAGAGACTGGGAGAGATTTCAGATACTAAGTAGATGAAACCAGTAGATGAAAACTTATTGGGTGCTGGTGATGGAGGAAGAAGAATTGAAGATGACTTGCACATGTCTGCTTGGTGGCCAGGTTGTTGGTTGTACCATTTTCTGAGCTGAGAAATATATTGTGTTTGGGTGAATTTGAATTGCCTGTGGGACATCCACATGAGACATCCACAGCAGGCAGTTTTATATAGTGATTTGAATTTCAGAAAAGAGATCTGATCTGGAGATGGAAATCTGGGAGTTGTCAGTTAACAAAGTCACCAGAAAAACGATAAAGACAAGAGAACCAAGGCTGGAATCCTGGGGCTATTAAACATTTGAGAGTTGTTCTGAGGAAGAGAAGCCTAGGAAAGCAATAAAGAAGGGCAAATGAGAAAAACTGGGGAAAAACAGGAAATACTGGTGTCAGAGAAGCTGGGAAGGAGACAGTTTGGATAAGGAGAGTATGGTTCATAATGTAAAATCTAATGAAACATTATGTAAAATAAGGACTAAGAAGTACGTGGTAGGAATGACTTTAGAGATCACTGGTGACCTTGATGACAGTAGTTTATATGAGTGAAGGAGACAGAAGCCAGACTTGAGTGACTTTGAGAATAAATGGCAGTTAACTCAAAAAAGATGACAACCATCGGGAACTTTTGAAAAGGCTTGGATGGGAGGAAGTCAAAGGGAAACAGTGATAGTTAAAGAGTATGTATGTTTCAAAAGGGTGGCTTGAGCAGGTTTTAATGCCAGTGGGAAGAATGGACAGAAAGGGAGTTGTTGAAGACAAAGAAGCAGAGTCCTAGAGGAACTGGATTATTTTCACAAACTGACCCAAGTAATCTGAAGACTTACCAATGACCTTGATATGGAAAGTGCAGCTGGCTTGGTTGCTGGATAGGTCAATTGCCGTGTACGTGATAGCAACCTCTCCAATGGGGAAGAGGTAAGGTGGGGTAAAAGCTGGATGGACATGGATTGACAGCTTGTGGAGATAATATTTTGAAATTTAAAGTTAGTATCAATAGTACATTTATCCTTTGTTATTTATATACTATTTGTAAAGTTTAAGATGACACACTATTTCACATCTAGTGAAAAGGAAAAAAAAACAGGTACAGTCTTTTGGTGTATTTCTTTCCAGACTATTCTATTTGCATAGTGTGTAGCATTGGCATAATATGAAATGTTGTTTCTTGTTTTTAAACATACCTTAAGACACCTTTTATGCTGTTGCCTAGTCTTTAGAACTGAATATGACTTAATTGTAGCCATAATGTTCTGTAGAATAAATATATGATAATTTAAGAAAAATCTATTGAAAGACACTTAAATTGCTCCTGAATTTTACTTCTGTAAACAGCACTGGGATGAACAGTTTTGCATAAAGAATTTAAAAATATTTTTATTATGTCCTTATAACAAATTTCCATGGATGGAATTACTAACCTCAAAGTTATTAACATTTAATGTAGCTACTACAAAATTTATTTCCCAAAGCATAGTACTAATTTGCATTCTCACTGTCGATATTTGATAGTATCAATGTGTATATGTATACAGAGAGCATGCTATCACTAGAGTATTAGTAAATGTTCAATATCACACATATTTATAGTGTATTTAGAGTCTATTTGAAAAGGATGCACATGTTTGCATAAACCTTACCTTTTCCCCAGAGTTGTCTTTAGCTGTTGGGATTTGCCAGGTGATATTAGCAGAGTCCTGCTGTTCCTGCGTCTTAGCCTCTATATCCGGAGGACAGTTGATTTGAGGAGCCTCCACATCTGACTCAGAAAATACACAAATCAATTAATATGCTAAGTAAGCCTACGTCATTTAAGAATTAGGTAAGAATATATTAATACTTTGTGTCTCGTCATTTCCTATCGATTCCTGATTGCACAACTGCATTCAGGATAATTGATCTCAGCACAGCTTCCTAGGACCTTCAAGAGCTAGTACCTGCTGACCTCAACCCCGCCTTTATAGGTTCCCTACTGGAACTCACTCTCCACAATGAATACTTTCAGTCCCATGAAAGCCCCATGGTCTGTCTGGAACCTTTGCCTCTGTTTTATTTACCTGAATCAATACCCCCTTCTCCCTTTACCCAGGTGACTACTACTTGTCCTTTAATTCTCAGCTTCGACACAGCTCCTCAGAAAGCTCTCTCTGACTCCCCTGGTCCATTTTAGGTGCTCACTCAAGTTCCCACAACTCTCCGTCCTTCCTAACCACAAAACTCATCATGCCAGTTTGAAGTGCAATTGTCTCCCCACCACCCAAATTTAAGGTGTTTGAATGCCAGGGTATCTCTTGTCCCATTGTGCTATATATACCTGGCATAGAATAGGATCTTGGTAAATATTTTTTTTAATGAAATAAAGAAATAAACAGAAAAATGAATGTTGACTGGCAGGAAGGAACTACACTTTAAAACAAGGGCTGTCAAGTAGGATGAATTAGTAGTGCGAAAAGGTACTGTCAAAACAAACAACAAATTACAGTCAATGAAATTTTTTTGCAGTGTGAAACTTTGTAGTATAAACACTGAATTAGAAGTGGTAACATTACACATATCTACATTAGTTACTGTAGAACTAAGTTCTTATTATATATACTAGGGGCCCGGTGCATGAAATTCGTGCACGGGGTGTGTGTGTGGGGGGAGTGTCCCTCAGCCCAGCCTGCCCCCTCTCACATACTGGGAGCCCTCAGGCGTTGACCCCCATCACCCTTTCCTGCTTTCCCTTTCGCCTCCCTGCATTGTGCCTACATATGCAAATTAACCGTGATTTTGTTGTCAGTTAACTGCCATCTGAGTTGGCAGTTAATTTGCATATAGCCCTGATCAGCCAATGAAAAGATAGCGTTGTACGCCAATTACCATTTTTCTCTTTTATTAGTGTAGATAATAAATCCCCTCATTTGAAGTTACATTAAATTAGGTCTTCTGTAACTTGCAGTGGAATACTAGTACATATATCCAAATTGATTTAATTCATCTTCTTGTTTCTTTGCAATTTTATTCAATTTATATTTTCTCTGATAATTGTTTGACAATTTCCCCTCCCAAATATATATTAGCATATTGCCTCTGAAAATTTGTAAAAGTATTTGACTTTTCATTCATAGCTGAATAACAGTTTGACTGGATTTGGAATTTAAAGTTTACAGCCATTTCTCTCTCCGCATACATTGCTACATTTCCTTCTGGCATTTAGAGTTCTAAAAGAGAAGTGAGTCTGATTCTTGTTTCTTTTACTCAATTTCTCTTCTCACTGGAAACTTATTTATTTAATATTTTGTCATTAACTTTGGACCTCAGAAACTTCACCAGAGTAGTGAAAACATGCCGGCCTTATACTCAGGGGCTATTTTTGATCTAAAGGTTCAAGCTTTTCTGTGTATCTGAGGGAAACTTTCTTTTACTGGTAGGAAAATTCTGCTCCTCCACCCCCCTTTCCTCTCTCTTTCTGGAACTCTTTTTTTAAAAAATGTATTTATTGTCTAAAGTTTTACATGTGTCTCCTTCCCATCCCCCACCCCCCACCAAGGCATTCCCACCCCGGGCAAGCCCCCACCGCCCCAGTGTCTAGTGTCCACTGGTTATGCTAATATGGATATTGGGCTTCTCAATTGATCATTGGGATCTCTTAATTTCCATCTGTTCGGTTTCATCAGTTGGAATAATCAAGTTCTTTATTAGTCTGACTCTAAAGGAACACTCATCTTGGTTATTCAAATCACGAATACTGTTTTCAACATCTGTTCCATGTTTTTGCCCTTCTTTTAGAGATACTCATATTTTTATTCTTAAGAACTCTTTTTTTCAACACCCACCCCTTCATAGCTGTCTGCCCCTGCTGCAAGGAAGGTGGCAATGTTCTCCTGTGAAGAATGGATGCAGGTCTCAAAATGCATTTAGTCTCACCTGCTTTATATGGGTCAGAAACTCCTCAAAGAACTTCTGCATCTACTGATGCAAAACTTACCTGACTTCCAGTTCCTATATTATCCTTATTTCCATATGTCTTCTGTCATTGCCCGGCATGTTGCAATTGGATTTTGTAAATCCACCATTTATCATGGGTTAGTTGCAAAGGACAGTCCCACAATCCACCAATTTGTAATTACATGGGAATTTGGTTTTTAATCTGACCAACATAGAAGACCTACCTTTACAAACAGCTGTCTGAACCCTGGCGCTCCATTTTCCAGAGGTGGTACATCGCAATTCTTCTCTGACTCCAGCTAAAATGTATCCTTCGTGGCAACTGAGCTGACAAACTGTCCCAGGTTTGGTTGGCTGCCTGCCGCAGCTGGCGGGGGACACGATGACACCTTTGGGCATCTGAAAGGTGGCGCACTGGCGCTCTACGGTACGGAATAAGGAAATGAGAGAATGTTTTTTGCGTTCTCACAAATTGCAAATGCCACACATTCTCTTTACCCAACAAAAGTACTGACAATGCTGGTCAGGCCAATGTCTTTCAGTACTTTTAACAGTAGGTAAGGCATTGTTATTGCACTGAATCTTTGTTTAATATTACATTTTATTCCTCTGTATCAGAACGATCATCTCTTCTCGGTATGATAACATCAGTTTTTCTGAGCCTGCATAGTGAGGGTCGACTGTAAATGAATCCCCTAGTAAGTCCAATGTCCCTCCTGGTCACGCCCTCCCTTATGATCACACAAGAATCGAGTACTAGATTATACTAGAAGCTGTAAATCAATTTTGGACGACCTGGCATATTTATAGCATCTAGTTTTCCCATCTTAGGTCCTGGCACATCTCAATATTTTCCATACATGTAGTTCTTCTCCCTTTTTTGGGAAGTTGTATATTTCATTACACACCTGCTAACGCTCCTAGGTTACTGTATCTGACACATAGTAAGGTTTCACTAAATAGTAGTTATCAACATCTCATCATATTATCATAACCATTGTTATTTGTATCTACAGTGTATAAGAAGCAGAAAGCTGAACAAGCTACTGAATTTATTAATTCGGGACCCAATTGCAGTAGTGAGATGTCAGAGCTCTTAGTGAAGGACAAGGCAGAATATAGGATGAATTTTATGGTCCAACTTAAGATTCATTGGTTCATAATTCAGTCCTCTCATCAACAAGGTAAAAGTAAATTGTGTTTAACAAAGTGATGGAATTATATAGCATTTCCTTTAAAAAAAAAACACACACACATCAAATTTGGCCCCATTTTTTTAAAAAAAGGATTTAAAGCTGTAAACTTCAGTGACTTGGAAAATTTGAAGGCTTTTCACCAGTGGAGGGGAATAAAACACTTATTTATATGCCTATATCTCTGTGCATCTGTATATATGGTTTTGTATTTAGAGTCCTTATGAGTCAATTTTTAGTTCTAGGTCTTCACAGAAAACAGGGGAATTAGAGAGCAAGAAAAACGAATCACGGAAGGCGCCATACCTTCCAGACACTTACCTACACAGCGGGGTTCTAAACTATCCCACTGGGCATTCCCTTGACAGGTCAGCTTAGCACTTCCTTCTAGTCTGTACCCTTCATTGCAGGTAACCAAACACGTTGTCTTGTAGGACATTTCCCCCGTGGAACAGCTCAGGCGGCCATGTCTGGGTTGGCGGAGACGAGGGCATGTTCTTACTATATAAAATGAAAACTATTAGATCACATGTTACTGAATAAGGACAAAATGATCATTATACGTTTAATAACGCTGACACACTGCAAGCAAGAAAGGGCCCTTTTCTTAAAATGGCAAAGAGCAAAACATACCATTATTTTTTGAGTTAGTGCTAGACAATTAATTGCCTGTGTTTTACCTAATGCATTGCCCAAGCAATCTCACTGTGTTCAGCCATCTACCCATAGACAGGAAACTTAAGCTGTCTCTAAGGAGTCTGGTCCTAAATCGGGGGTGGGGAACCTTTTTTCTGCCAAGGGCCATTTGGATATTTATAACATCATTTGCAGGCCACACAAAATTATCAACTTAAAAATTAGCCTGCTCTATTTGGTCAGACATTTAGTTAACTCACCCCTAATGCCTTGGCAGGGCCAGACCAAATGATTCCGAGGGCCCAGCATTCCCCACCCCTAACCTAAATGGATGATGATGCCTATAGACAGGGGGTGCTTCACAAAGGCCTTGGCTGTGATTTTCCAGGCTGTATTCCAACAAAAGGAAGCAGACAGAGATTCCAGGTTGATGAGCAACTCAATTCTCAGATCTCATGGGCATGTCCTGGGGCTTTTAATGATCCCAGGATCTGCAAAGCAGCTCGGCCTTTGCAATCTTAAATTCCAGTATTCTATCTTCTGACGACAACTCTTGTCCTTTTAGCATTTTCACTCCTTTTTCCCAGACATTTACTGTAAATCTTAGTTCATGATGCTGATCTTGATGTAGGCATTAACATTGATTTGTTTTTTGCTACTCTGGCGAAGAATGTTACTTTCCCACCCCAGAAGCATTCTTCCTAGTTTATTCAGCATAATAATATTCACAAGTAGAAGACAATTCCCCACCTCCATCACAAGAAATGACAGTCAATGAAAGAAAAGCTAAAGTTGTGTGGAACTTCTGGACAAGTTTTTTTAATGGGGACTGTTTCAATTGAGAGAGTACTTTTTTGCATTCCCCCTCCTTCTCCTTTTTTGTCTTAAAATACAGACACGAAGGATAGTACTCTAGCATGTTATAGTATAAGTATAGGCATGTGACTCCCTGTCACACACAGAGATATGAGGAGGGAAATAGAGTGGATTCCTGTTGAATATGTCAAAGGGTGGGTGCATATAATCATTTTAATAGTTTACAGATATAATCCTATAGCATCAGGAATTGTACAAAAACCAAAAACAACTCCTACAACAGAACAAAGTTCAGTTTGCTCTCAGATAGCACTACTGCAACACAAAAGGCCAGAAGGTGACATAGCAAACTCTAGACATTTAGAGAGTGGATTCCTGTTGAATATGTCAAAGGGTGGGTGCATATAATCATTTTAATAGTTTACAGATATAATCCTATAGCATCAGGAATTGTACAAAAACCAAAAACAACTCCTACAACAGAACAAAGTTCAGTTTGCTCTCAGATAGCACTACTGCAACACAAAAGGCCAGAAGGTGACATAGCAAACTCTAGACATTTTTGAACAAAATCATTTGGACTCAATTTTATTGGGACTCTGGGCAAAATGTATTTTTTTCTTTCTTTTACTTTTCTGCATTTTCCAATTTTTAAATATCAAACACATATCTATTTATGATGAAAGCTTAATTTTAAAATAATAGGGAAGAAAGCTAGGGCAAATATTCAGTGTGTATTCAACCAAAGTCGTTTTTTAAATAAAATATACTGTGAAGTAACCCATTCAAATGATATTAGTCAACAGAGCATAAATACTGGGTGCATTAAATGTATGTTTAGGATTGATTGCTCCTTAGAGAAAATTCAAGAATTAGATGAAAGGGGAAGCCATAAAGCCTAGTTTTTCAGTCCCTGGGATGTTTTGAAAAAAATCATTTATCAATGACAACAGAACAGAAATCTTTTGCTTTTTACACTGGGTTTTTATTAAGTGTGTCTATCACATAAGTAGAATTTTTGTTAAATGTGTATATCAAGGTTATTTTGCCTTCCACATTCTGACTTTCACTGAGTGTGTCCCTCATGTGTAGCATAATGCCAGGTGCTAGGAGGGATTAAAAGATGAATAAGATAAATTCCTGCCCAGCTGGTGTGGTTCAGTGGTTGAGCACTGACCCATGAACCAGGAGGGTTGATCAATTCCTGGTCAGGGCACATGCCCAGGTTGTGGGCTCAATCCCCAGTAGGGAGCATTCAGGAGGCATCATTGACCTCTCTCTCTCTCTCCCCCTTCATCTCTGAAATCAATAAAAAATAAAAAATAAGATAAATTCCTATGATCATGATACATAAAATCTGAAAAAATATATTAAACAACTGCTTTAAGAGTCAATATAATGCTTAAGTCACTCTGGCTTTCCAAGTGGAGACAAGATGGATTTACAACATCTCTCAAGAGTACTGAGAGTAAATTACATTTGGTGTTTCATACACATGCAAATTATATTGCTTCTCATTTGTTGGTTTTAATAAGTTTTCATTGTTCCTCAGGGAAAACAAAGGATTCAATAATTCCTATTTAGTCTTCAACATTTTATACTCCTTGTCAATCAAGAATGGCCATTTATTATCATTTTTAATAGGAACATGCTTATTTGTTTCAATTTATATGTTTTTATTTCAACAGCTGAAAAACTCTACAAATGTTTCTTGACTTACATTCATGTTAAAGCAATCCTTAAATATAGTCTTTTTAGAAAACAGCAATATAGTCTTTTAGAGAATAGTCTATTATGTAGTAGACAATGTAAGAGCTTGCTCTGGTTCTCAATTAAAAGATAATTCGATTTTCCCCAGACACACACTTTCTGTCAATCTCAAATTACTATAGTATTCATACTAACAATAAAATAAATCTGATGTTACGTGAAGGATTCTCATTGTTGTTTGAACCCTTTCTCAGAAAAAAAATACCTCCACGAAATTTGACGTACTGTGATGTTGTTGTATAGCTAGTTATTATTGAGAAGTCACAAAGAAATCCTTACAAGTTGGTAATGAAATGCATAACTCAGGTAAAATTGAAAAAGAGGATAAGTCCTTACGAAGAGTATATAAGAGGAATAAGAATCAGAATCTAACACTATAAAATATTAATGATGTAACATTACATGTGTAAAAGGCTTTATATTTTACACTGGTCTTTCATTTTAGCCTCAATATTATAAACTTTTTTAAGAAAAAAAGACACTAACATTATTCTCTGTCCTTATAATTAGATTTAAATTAGATCTGTAAAGTATTACTCTCTCCATACTACCCAGCCTAAAAAGAAGTGAATCGCCACACAATGGCTGCTTTTCATTTAATTCCAGATGCCCCAACTATAAGGCACACCATAATTTTGAGCCACTAATAAAGAAATGATAATATCTATAAACACTTAATGCCACTATAAGATGCATCTCAGTTTTAGAGATATTTAAATATGGGGGGAAAGTGTTTTAGAATTAATGAAATGTGCTTTTTCATAGAACAATAAGTAATTAAATCCCCTAATGATGAGCCAGAGGAAGAGTCTGAATATGAAGTATCTCCATTCAGGACAACTTTTTACACTGGAAAGTTAGGTAGCTGTCTTTGGGAGTGAAAATGAAGGGATCTTAAGAAGATCCACGGTCCTGTAGCATATCTCCTTCTTTGATTAATGTTCTTTTATTTAATAACTAGAGGCCTGGTGCACAAAATTTGTGCACTGGGTGGGTGTCCCTCAGCCCAGCCTGCCCCCTCTCACAGTCTGGGTGCCCTCAGGGGATGTCCTACTGACAGCTTAGGCCCGCTCCCGTGCGGAGCGGGCCGAAGCCACAGTCTGGATGCAGCAGCTCAGAACACACACCCCTGGGCGGGCAGCGCAGCATGCCTGCCCACAAACCCCCGGTGGGAGTGGCCTCAGAGCTGGGTGGCATGAGGACTGGGGGCGGGCTCTGAGCCTCTCCGCAGCCGCTCAAAGCCTGTCCCCAACCCTGGTGTGTGGTGTGTGGTGTGTGTTGTGTGTCTGCTGGGGCTGGGGGCTGAGCTGGTCGTGCTCTAAGCTGGTCATGATGTCCGGCCTAATTTGCATATTTCTCTCCTATTATATAGGATAGGATACCAACTCAATAATATAAAAGAGAACAAGCCTGCTTTTAAAAAATGCAAATGCATAATAGGAAGTGACACAAGCAGATCATCAAGGTGCCTATTTATCAATGTACTTATCAATATGTGTATTTGTTCAATCATTCACCAGAGGTATAAGCAAGAATTGAAGGGGAAAAGGTACACTCTGTGCTCACAATGAACTCCATCTAGCTGAAGTGACAGACAAGTTACAAGTGAGTGCGGTGGTCTGTATTGTAACAAGTTGGCTCAGCTGAGAAACACCTCATCATAATCTCCTCCTGTGGACCAGGTAAGGGCTGGTCAAAAGAACTTTCACTAGATTTGGAAGGTGGGAGGAAGAGTAGCCATTGTATCTCGACTCAATGTTAGACAAATGCAGACATGCCCTGTGGGTCCCAGCTTGTCTTTGCTCGTTTCCACCCCACATCCCGACTGCTGACCCTGTTAGCGAAAGGTGGCGCCAAGTTCATGGCTGGCCGGGTTCGTGGCTGATCATCAGGGTGTGGCTACACGGAGGCAAAGCTTCTTAGACTCCCTGACACATTTCTCCCTTGTGATCCATTTCAGCAGCTGGACGGCTTGGATTCCCATACTGGACTGGCAGTTAACTTCTCTGATATTCCAACTTCTCTTCTGGAACTTCCATGTTCCAGCTCCTTCCAAAACTGTGTGAGGTCTGATTCCTAAATCAGTCCCTTATCCCCCAGCATGCATGGTGTTTCCTGTGCTTTCCTGCCTGACCCTGACACAGAGCACAAGGGCTAGAACGAGTGGGGGACAGGCCTGTGGACACACATGCAGAGGTTAAATGTCACCCCTCTGAGCCGGGGAGGGGGTTGGCAACGGGGAGGGTTTCTACATAGGAACCAAGAGCAAAGGCAGGATGATTGAACAATCAAAGCTGTGGGAATGCCGGAAGCCGGTCCATCCTTGCTGCTTGACACAGTCGCTGCAGGGAAGAAACATCTGCACAGTGTATGTTTCAAGGGACCTGGCGTATATGGCATACTGTTCTTAATATGTTTGCTCACCTTCTTGGCGCTATGTGTTTTAACCAAGGTCACCTCTCCGAGAAAGGTTGTTTCCCCAGGTAGGGATTTTCCCCTGAAGTTAGGGAGGGAATAAAACCTCTTAACCCCTTCCCCAGCAGAAAGGGAAGGCTTCCTGAGAGGGCGTGGCCATGTCTTCTGGATGCTAGGGTAGGATGTGGATTGTGGGGGATAAAGAAAAAGGACCCATCCTTATCCTAAGGGGGTGTCTGCCTGCTTTTCTCACTCTCTTTGGAAGGCCAGTAAGTGGAAAGTTAAAATGTAATGTTTTCCACCCTCTACAATGAGGTCTTTGGAAGAAGGGGTAGAGATGTTAACTGTTGACTTTATAGGAATATTTCTTTTAAATTTACATGCCTTTTTTCCCCCAATTTCAGTTTGCATTCAATATTATTTTGCATTAGTATTGGGTGTATAGCATAGCGGTTAGACAATCACATACTTTACAAAGTATTCCCCCTGATACTTCCAGTCCCTACCTGGTACCATACATAGTTATTATGATATTATTGACTAAGAGATTTTCTGTGATTAACTTTTTCAGTAATGGGATGTGACTTTTTACCATTAGAAAACATGTGCTGAAAATGTCTTCCCACATAAAAAGCAGCATGTCTGAGTTGAGAGACCTAGGGTCTACTGTTTTTCTTTGTCTTCTAATATTTGGAGTGGCTAGTAAGGGGCAAAAGTTTCTATTTTTCCAGGGCATTCAGAAATTTCACTAAGATTATTTCCAGACATGGATCTGTTTTTAAGATTTTTTTTTCTGGCACACAGCAAGTGATTTTAAACTGAACATCAAAGATTTTAAATGTGTATATTTTCAAGATTTCTGATTAGAGATATGTTATGTAATCTTCTGTTAGGGTTTATCCTCCACTCCATTCTCTTTCTGGATTCCTAATACAAGAAGAGTCTATTTCCTGTGACTATTCTCATGTCTCTTTAGACTTTCATATATTTATTTTAATCTTTGAAATTTTGCCCTATTTTCAGAATTCATGAGTTGATTTTCTACCTTATTGACTCTTAACTATGTCCATTCATTATGTCAGCAATCTTTTTGTTTGCTTGTTTCCTAAGAAATGTTTTTGCACTCAGATTACTCCCATTTCTTGGAATTCTGGTCTTATTTTAGTAATGTAACTCAGAGATTCCATGTTTCCCCTTTCTTTCAGGTCTCCTTTGATCAATTTTCTAATTCTCTTCATTTTTTCCTTGTCTTTTCGTAGGTGTAAATGAGAATCCGGACTGGGACCTGACTTAGGCAAAATCACATTTATAGATGGGATCATATCATTAGCTGATAAAAATAAACAGAGGCGGTCTCCTGGGGTTCACATGTGACCTTGCGGTGGTGGGCTTCCCTTCTGGGTGCGGGAGCCAAGAGAAAACCAGAAGACAGAACTCCTTACCCCAATCCAGTAAGCTGAGCGATGGGGGGTCTGGGCATAGTCAAATTCTCAGCAAAGTGTATTGCCAAAGGATGCCAAGGGGATGGGGATAGGTTGCCAGATTCAGAAAACAACAACAGCAAAATGCCACAAATTAGCATATCTAATTAAATGTGAAAATCAATAAATAATTTTTAGTATAAGTAGATCCCAAACTTGGTATTAAATTTATACTAAAAAAATTATTCGTTGTTTATCTAAATTTCCCATTTAACTGGGGGTCCTGTATATCATCTGGCAGTCCTAGATAGGGGGTGAATACTGTCTTTAGCAGCTTCATGGGCAAGGATTCTCAAGTCCTTCACCTTGTTCCCCTCTTACCTTTCCTTTGATAGCTTTCTCTTCCAACCCTACTGGTGAAACCTTAGGAAGTTGCCCGTGCAGCAGTTCTAAGAAGTAGGGAAGTTGATCACAGAGATGGCAAGATTGGAAGTGAACTTGGGTACCATTCTGTTTGTTGTTTCCTTGTATTTAATGTGGGATCCTTGGGTTCTACCCGAGTTACTGTCCCCTTTTCTATGGGCCTGACTGCTCTTTGAGATTTCCCTTTAGCAAATTCCCACTTTCTCTAGCACGCTGCTATTCCAAGTGCAGGTTAGAGATGGGTAAGTTAGCTAATTGCTCCTACTGCAGGCTATTGGTGTGGTTCCCTAAGTCCCGCGATCACAGCAGGCATCAAAATCCCCTCTGACCATCCCAAAACTTCCTCTGGCACCCAGTCTTGGCTGCTTAAAATCCGAGGTTTAGGGTAACCTGTCCATTTCCTTCCCAGGCAGGCCCTTCCTTTGCTTGTTCACAGAAGAATTATAAAGGGCATGATTCATGATGATGTGGTCAATTGAACTTAGTAGTTCTAACTTCAAACTTCCTATAATTTTTTTTCTTTCTGTGGTCTGTGGTCTATGAAATTAAAAGAAACAAAGAACTTGCTGGTCCATTAGAGTTTAAGTCAAGGAACTCAAGCAAGACAATCAATAAACAATGTGAATGGGCAGTCTGCATACCTTTGCAGTAGCTCTCTGAACCGGACCACAAACCATTGGGTTGACACAAGAGGATGCTGCTTCCCACGAGGTCAAATCCAGGGTGACATCGGACCCCACAGGCTGCATTGAAGTGGTTGTGGCAAGTGTTTTGGATAAAGTAACCGTTTTCTGGAGGCTTCAGGGCAGGGCAGTGCACAACTAACATTTATAAAAGTAAAATGAAAAAGCAAAGTTAGACTTTGTCTATGAAGTATCCACTACCTCCCCCGCACACACTTTTGGGGGTCAAATCTAGGGTGATGTTGGGCCCCACACACTTCTTTGGTTCAAGAGGACAGTGTAGATATGGCTAATTTACCCACAGAATTCCCACTTGCATTTGAATTTCTAAGCACGTACTGTATCTGGAAGAACCCATATGTCTCATTTCCAATGGGTATTTACTCCCACTTAAAATTTAAAAACAAAGTAAATATTATTTGGTATGCTTTAAACATTTTTATTTTGATGTATATTTGGATATAAAATTTTCTAGTTATTAGCCTTCCTATGCCATTAGTTATTTTCTTTCTTAATTAAGGTAACATGAAATAAAAACCAGATACGGTCAGCAAAGCGGTGTCTGCTTCAAATCTCAAGAGTCGCAGTTTCTTGTACACGTTGTAGGCTAATTGAATGTTTTTAATTTTTGATATGAATAACACTGAGACACTTACTCTACTTATAAAAATACTTTCTTTAAATGAATTTAACTATCACCCAACTTGTTTGTTACTCAACGTTGTTGTTAAAAAATTTTGGCTTTTTTCTTTAGATTCATTTGAGATCTTTTCCAAGTGGATAAATCTTTCTGTTTTCATAGTTATATTACTCCTGGCTCAGATCTCCTTTCTCCGGAGCAAGAAATGGGTGTGTTCAGTGATAAGAAATGCTACTTAATAAGAACAAAGACTCCCCCCACCCTGATATGATTAGAGAAAGAAATGCTAAAGATCATTTTTAAATGAATTGGATGAAAATACCAGCATCTTATCCCTCCAGGAGACCCACTTTTCTATTTCCTGTTTGCCCAGGGGGCAGGCTTACCCTCGCAGGTCTGGCCGGATGCCTGGAAGCCCTCCTTGCAGACGCAGTCCTCAGGGGACGTACTTCCTGGTGGAGAGGTGTGATTTTCATCAGGACACGGAAGGCAAGTGCTGATACCGCCTGGCACACCTTCTGGTTTAAATGTCCCTGGTGGGCAAGCTGTGGGCAGGCCAGAAAAGTCCGTTTTATGTGGTGCATCAATTGATAACCAGCAACATTTCTGAGACTCATTAGAGAGGAAAAACCGAACAACAGCTTTTCATAGTAAAAATCATATAATTCAAGGAAGGACAGTTGCTACATTTGTTTTGTTTTGTTTTTTAAAGAATGATGGAGTTTGTTATTTGCAGGTTATGAAGTAGCCTCTTCTGTCCCACAATGAGTTACAATTACAACACAGCACAGCATGGTATTCTGAGCTTTTTTGTGGGAAAACTCCAAATAGCAATGCATATAAAGGGACTAAAAGAAACGAATGACACTGGATGCATAAAACATCATCATAATAGGTATGCTCCATATTCCATCTCTGCCCTCCCTAACCTGTGTAGCTTCATCTTCCCCACTGCACCCCCAGCACCCTCTCCCAGCAGATATACAAAAAGCACTAAGCCCATACTTTCTGTTCTGAGCCCTTGACAAAGGACAGGAGAAACTAAAGGGCTTGAGGAAGATAATTCAACTGATGGGAAATAGGCCCTTTGAAGAAACAAGAGTTAGAACCTTGCTTTCCCCAGGCTGAAGGAAAAAAAAGAAAAAACATTAAAAGCAGGATCTAACTGATCTTGCTGCATAGACTCCCTTTGCACTGACAACATGGCTTTGAATTTGTCACTTACTCTCTCTGGAGTTACACATCTGTAAAATAACTCAAAGTTAAGAATTCAATAATGAAGAAATTGTGGAATAAAGGGACTGGTAGTGCTCAGTTAAGTCAATTAAATGTAGCTCAGTCAAGTATGCATTTGATTCTTTAAAAACAATAGCTACTAAGTACTGTGCACCAATATGATGACATCTTATGTAAACTCAGTTAATCCTCACAGTTTTATAAGTAATATTAATAATTACAATGTTATTCCTGAATGCATTAATTTAATTGTTTTATGACAATTTTAAAGATGAGGAAATGAAAGCTTAAAGAGATGTGAGACTTGACTAATATTACTCAATTAGTAGGTGACAGAGCTAGAATTTTTGTTTAGACCATAACATTGATTTACTGGTGAATTTTTATGACAAAAATTCAAAATTACATGTATCTTGCTCTTAATTAGCAAGTCAAATATTTTTAAATGGTAGCATACTCCCTCTTTCTATTGCTATTTGTTTAAGGCCTATTTCCAGGTAATAAGCTTTGACTTATTTATTTTTTTAAGGTTTACAATAAAATTGAAATAAAGGTTGCAGTTGCAATTTAAAGAAAATATTTATGCAGCATTTATGTCCCAAGGACTATTCTATGTATTTTAAATATTATCTTTTTAATCTCCTTAAGGACCTATGAAGCAAATAATATTATTAATCTCAATTTATAGATGAGAAAAGTAAGGTACCAAGAGGTTAAATCCCTGCCAAAGTTACACACTGAGTAAGTGGAAGAATTGGGATTTGAATCCAGATTATCTGGATCCAACAGCCACGTTTTTGTTTTTTTGTTTTTTTGGTAATCCTCATCTGATTTTCGGAGAGAGTGGAAGGGAGAGGGAGAAACAGAGCGAGAGAAACATTATAATATGCTAAAAATATAATCATTATTGAGAGACAAGGTTTATAACATAATGTAATTATTAGAAAAATAACACTAAAATTCTTGATTATATTTTAAAACAGGGTAACATTGTTGCATGACATATAGTAGAAAATTCTAGAATTAGATTGATTTATTATTAAGAATGAGAAACATTTTAAAAATAATTATAATGATAATATGCAAAATGCTTCAGCAGAAAGGGAACATTGCTGCAAAGCATGATATTATTAAATATTGAATTATTATTGAATTACTCATATTACTGAGTATTTCTTTCTAGAAAAAGTTCAATAAATATTTGTGCAGACCCTCAAGAAGATGCAAGACTACATGGTCTCCTTTAAACAGATATCAGTAGCGGTAGGAGAAAATGATTAAGTTATAAATGCACAAATGGAAAAGAAAATATACACTGTAATAGCAAAATTAAAATTGTCATTGGATGCAGTAAAGAGAAGCCGTAAAGCTCCAGAACAACAGAACTGAGTAGACTCAGGAGAAGTAAGAGTTGTGATATTAATGCAAGTCTTTATTCCTTACCTGAAGCTTAAGAGAAAAAAAAAAAACCTCATCAAATTCCAGGCAAAATTAATAAAAAGTGATTCACACCCAGGATAAAGAAAAGTATCACAAGCATCTAGGTAAGAAAAACAAGTTACTTACAAATGGGAAAGTCAAACTGGTATTTCGTTTTTCCTGTACAAAAACAAATGCCAGGAAAAAGACATACAGCTACACGGGAGAATATTATAAACCCCAATTCCATATCTGAGCAAGTTATTGGTAAATATGAGGAAAGAGAAAGACATTCGAGGATATGTATGATTTCTGGAAATAAAGATGCATTTCACTGATTGAAAATAAAGAGCTCAGGTAGGGGGAAAAGACAATAAATTGCTTGAGATTAAGTAACTAGTGGAACATATAATCTATTGTCAAATCTCTTACATAACTGTGAAAATGAGTATCAAATAAAGCCCACTGTTATAAAGAAGGGCATACGCTCCCTTCTTTATAGAAAAAAAATGAAAAAAATAATAATCTCTGTATAACATAAAGAAGAAAGGCTTAGAATATGAGAGAAACTGGGAGATGGGTGAGCCGATGGAGAAGGCGATGCTCTCATTTCCTTTCATATACATCAATGCGATAAAACAGAAAAACATAGCTTCCAATCTGCACATGAAAATACACATAAGCACGAACAGAAAAAGAATGCATAACCTCCAAATCGGCAGAGGGGAAAAAAGAACAAAGGTAGGAAAACATAGGAAAATAAAAGAAATATTAGAAACAAAGGTGATGGGAGAGTATCAAACTCATCAGTCATCATGCCTGTCCCCCAGAGTACGTTACCCTTACTTCTGCTCTCACACACGTCACACTGTATGTAACATAAGCACTTGTCTCTCTCTTTCAGTGGCAACATGCTCTTGGAAGTTCAGTCTTCCAGTTTTCTGACCCCAGCCTTTACCCATCCCATGGCCCGAGTCCGCAGTCAATCAATCAAAGGCGGGCAGGAGAACAAGCTCTGTTGGAAGGTGGAGGGTGGGTTGAGTTGGAAGGAGGACTAAAGCCAGAGACACTAACAACGGGGTGAAGCGAAAGAACATTAGGCTTGGAGTCAAGACAACTGAGTTGCAATCTTGGCTCTCCCACTAACAAGCTGTGGGTCACTGGCAAGTGACTTTGTTTTCTTTTCCTACAAAATACAGAAGTTACAATTAGTAATGCCTATGACATTTCCAATGCTAACATTTGGTGATTCTATAAATAGAATAAGACTGAAAAGTAAGTTAAAAATACCTTCCATATTAGCAGTCAGATTATGTGTACAGATTTTATAATTTATTTAAAAATAATATTACACAAAAAGGAACTAATCTTACTCTGTTACTCTCCAAAACCTTTTGAGTAATCAAGAATTTACAACACTAGAGCACAGTGTTTTGGATAAAAATATACAAAAGCACATTTGGAAATGTATTGTGAAATTCATAATGATAATGGAAAACAGATTTGAGAACTATTTAAAGGCATTGCACAATTCTGGTGGAGAGGTGCAATCAAACTCTTTGATTCCCAAGGGGGGAAAATTCCTCATCTAAAACCAGGCAAAAGTGAAGAGATGAAACAGACTGTGGTTTGAACAAGTTCCACAAGTGATGGTAAATGGCTAGGGTATGTTTTTTTTTCTTTTTAATATGAAATGTTTCCTTCCTGGAAATGAACCAAATATTATTTCTTAATTGCTGTTTTTGTTGTTGTTAAAATAAGCACTTTCTCTTTTCAGAAACATCTTGGCGGGTACCAGCTACTATTACTGGAAGTGTGATTCTGGAAGCTAACATTAGGTTTTTCTTCAGCTGATAACTCAGTTCTTCGGTGGAAGTAAATTAAAACAGCAATAAGTTTGGGACATGTAAAATACAAAGAAGTCTTCATTCTCTGTAATCTATACTACCCACTAAATATCAATTCCTTAAATGACTATTTTAGTTTAATATTAATTACATTATACAATAACTTACATTTCATTAAATTCTTTCCTATTCATAATCTAAGATTCATTTTTTAAAAAATCTCAATAAATATTAACAGCCTCTGTTTCTTCTATGAAGGACCAGTGGCATCAGCTGCCTATAGGCAGTGCCCTACACAACTCCAAGGGTGCTCATTCATGTAGATTACAAAAGTATCCAGGAGTTGTGCAACTTAAAAGCCCTAGTTCCTAGTATACCTAAGTAGGGCACCAAGCAAGTTCCTGGGCCCCCAGAGAAAGGCTCTTTATTCTTACCGTATTATGCTTCTCAACCTTGTGGATTTGTTCTGAATAAGGAATCTGTTCCTACAAATAGTTGTGCTAGGATTTTTGTGCTAGGAAATGTTGACACTATTGTAGATATCTGCTATTTCCATCCCCTTTGCCCAACTCCACCCACCCTGCCTCCCCTTCTCTTGGCCTTCATCACAGTACTGTCTCTGTCTATGGGCTCTGCATATATGTTCTTTAGCTAATCCCTTCACCTTCTTTATTGAGTCACCCCAATTCCCCTTCCCTCTGGCACTATTTTGAGCACAGGAATCCACTGCACTAGGAGAGAAACAATTTCTCCAAAGTTGAGCCAATATGTTCACAAATATCTATACTAATAAAAGCATAATATGCTAATTAGACTGGATGTCCTTCCAGACAACCTTCAGGACAAAGCCGGGGCTGCGAGGAAAGCCTGGGTCCCGGGTGCCAGAGGGAAGCTGGTGCCGGCAGCCAGGGGAAGGAAGGCCTACTCTTGCATGAATTTCGTGCATCGGCCTCTAGTAAAAGAGACAAGCACCTAGACATACATACAAGGAGGTTTTGGTTTTTTTAATTAGACAAACAAGATGCTTTCTATTTCCATCAATG